GGGTATCCTTGCTCCATTGAATTGTGTTTCTGTCTTTGCCAAAAATCAATTAGCTATGTATTTCTACACTATTCTGTGTCAATATAATGCTATCTTGATTGCTGTAGCTTTATGGTAAGTCTTAAAATTCGGTAATATGAGTCCTCCAACTTAATTTTTCTTTTTCAAAATTGTTTTGGCTTATTCTAGTTTCTTTGCCTTTCCATATAAATCTGGTAATATGCTTTTCTCTATCAAATAAAAAATCTTGCTGAGATTTTACTAAGAATTGCATTAAATTTACAGATCCATCTGGAGATAGCTGACATCTTCACTCTACTTAGTCTTCCAATCTGTAACCATTGTATGTCTCTCCACATTGTATGTCTTTTAAATTTTCTTGCAACAATGTTTTGCAATTTTCAGTGTATAGATGTTGTACATTTTGTTAGATTTATGCCTATTTTAGCTATTGTAAACGGTATTTTCATTATTTGTGTTTCCAACAGTTTGCTGTAAGTATACAGAAATATGACTGACTTTTGTATGTTGACCTTGTATTTTGCAATGAAGCTAAACTCACTTATTAGTTCTATGAGTTTTCTTGTAGAGTTCTTGAGATTTCCTATGCAGACAATCATGTCATATGAGGTTTCATTTCTTCACTTTAATATGAATGCTTTTAAAACTTTCTAGTTTCTTTCCCCAATTTACCTGCTGCCAACTACTTTTCAAGGTTCTCAGATAGCTGCTTCATGCATTGTTAAGGATTTTTAGTCATTCAGTGGGATAGACAGGGTAACATATGCTTATTCCATCTTAACCAGAACCACACTCCAAAAGACATATATTTTTAATTTTAATGGTTTCAATCAGACTGGTTTTAAAATACTGTACTAGTTATCCAGTAGCATTGTATGAGAATAGCCTCATACTTATAAGCCCACTAGTAATAACTGTATTATAATTTTGCCAGTCTGATAGGTATGAAGTGCTATAGCATTGGTATTCTATTTTGCATTTACCTGTAGTAAGATTCAAATTTTTTGGAAAGATTTATTTATTTACCTTAGGGGTAGAGGGAAGGGGCAGAGAGAGATTGAGAAAGAGAAATTCAAACAGACTGTGCACTGAGCATGGAGCCCAATGCGGAGCTTCACCTGAGCCAAAACAAAGAGTCAGATGCTTAACTGACTGTGCCACCCTGGCGCCCCTGAGACTGAAATTTTTTTTTAGAGATTTTATTTATTTGACAGAGAGAGACACAGCGAGAGAGGGAACACAAACAGGGGGGAGTGGAGAGGGAGAAGCAGGCTTCCCGCTGAGCAGGGAGCCTGATGTGGGGCTCGATCCCAGGACCCTGGGACCATGACCTGAGCTGAAGGCAGGTGCTTAATGACTGAGCCACCCAGGCGCCCCGAGACTGAAATTTTTTATCATATTTTTGACCATTCTGATTTCTGTGTATGTATAAAACACATACACATATGTATTTTTGTAATAGGTTGAATTATGCTCCCGTTCAAATTCATATGTCAAAGTTCTAACCTCTTTTCTCTCAGAATGTGACTGTATTTAGAGACAGGGTCTTTAAATAGGTCATTCATTAAAATGAGGTCTTAGGGTGGGCTCAAACCCTAAATGACTGCTGTCTTTTTTTTTAAAGATTTATTTTATTTATTTGAGAGAGAGGGGCATGCAGAGGGAGATGGAAAGAGAGAAACTCAAGCAGACTTCCCACTGAGCATGGAGCCCAATGCAGGGCTCAATCTCACAACCCTGAGATCATGACCTGAGCTGAAACCAAGAGTTGGACGCTCAACTGACTGAGACACCCAGGCGCCCCTATGAATGGTGTCTTTATAAGAAAAGGAAATTTGTGGAGGGGAGGCAAGATGGCAGAAGAGTAGGGGACCTCGTTTCATCTGGTCCCTTGAATTCAGTTAGACAGCTGTCAAATCATTCTGAACACCTGTGAGCTCAACCTGAGATCTAAGGAAAGAATTGCTGCAATTCTACAAATAGAAAAGCAACCACTTTTTGCAAAGGTAGGAGGTATGGAGAAGTGACTCTGAACCAACATATCGGAAAATAAACGATGGGGTGAGGGAGCCTCAATCAACCAGCTACCAGAAAGTGATATAGCAGTGGACTACAAAATTGGAACTTTTAGAAGTCAGCTCTGATGAGGGACTTCCCTGCCTGAAAGGTGCTCAGGTGGCGAAGTGGGGCAGAATCCTAGGTGGGACAGTGTGGTCTTAGGATCCCTGGGGTCACAGAAAGAATGGGGGTGCCTGAGCCTGAAGAGTTCCCAAGCGTTGGAGCAGGGAAACCAGTTATGGTCAGTGATCCCAGGAGGGGGCTCTCAGCTCAGTTCGCCATAAACCACGAACCATGGCACGATTGGGCAACCGCTCTCTGTGTGCAGGCCTTGTAAAGGGCAAAAACACTGCTACCCTCCGCCTTCCCCTGGGAGGATTGTTGTGGGTGCACACTGCAGGAGTCTGCAGAGTTTGGCACACACAGAAGTGAAGACTGCTTATCCCTGAGGGTTTACTGAAGAGAGGGGACTGTGCTGGAGATCAGGGCGTGGCCATTTTTATATTCATCCTCTAAAGAGGCACAGAAAGCCTTCAGGGAACAAAAGCCACATAGAGCAACCAGAAGCAGCTTACAGTGAGCCCAGCCCCTGGCAAGGGGCGGTGCAACTCCACCCAGGCAAAGACACCTGAGAATCAGCACAGCAGGCCCCTCCCCCAGAAGACCAGCTGGAACAAGAGGCGAACACCAAGTTTACGGAGCACACAGGACTGCAAAACCCCAGCACTAGGGAAAAATAGTATATATAATATGAAGCTTACTATGATTCATTTATCTTTCAGATTAAAGTTTTTCATTTCTTTTTTTTTTTTCTTACACTGTTGGTGGGAATGCAAACTGGTACAGTCACTCTGGAAAACAGTGTGGAGGTTCCTCAAAAAGTTAAAAATAGAGCTACCCTATGACCCAGCAATTGCACTACTGGGTATTTACCCCAAAGACACAGATGTAGTGAAAAGAAGGGCCACATGCACCCCAGTGTTCATAGCAGCAATGTCCACAATAGCCGAACTGTGGAAAGAGCCGAGATGTCCTTCAACAGATGAATGGGTAAAGAAGATGTGGTCCATATATACAGTGGAATATTACTCAGCCATCAGAAAGGATGAATACCCAACTCTTACATCCACATGGATGGGACTGGAGGAGATGATGCTCAGTGAAATAAGTCAAGCAGAGAAAGTCAATTATCATATGGTTTCACTCATATGTGGAACATCAGGAATAACATGGAGGACCACAGGGACAGGGAGGGAAACCTGAATGGGAAGAAATCAGAGAAGGAGACAAACCATGAGAGACTCTTGGCTCTGGGAAACAAACTGAGGGTTACAGAGGGGAGGGGGGTGGGGGATGGGGTAACTGGGTGATGGGTATTAAGGAGGGCATGTATTGCATGGAGCACTGGGTGTTATGCGCAAATAATGAATTGTTGAACACTACATCTGAAACTGATGATGTACTATATGTTGGCTAATTGAATTTAAATTAAAAAAAATGAAATTTGTACCCAGACACGTACATGCACAGAGGAAAGACCATGTGAGGGCACAGAAAGTGGCTATCTACAAGCCAATGAAAGAGGCCTCCGAAGAGACCAATCCTGCTGAATCTGGATCTCAGACCTTTAGCCTCCAGAATTGCAAGGAAGTAAATCTCTGCTGTTGAAGCGACCCATTCTTTGGTACTTTGTTATGGCAGGCCTAGCAGACTAAGACTACATGTGTGTGTGTTTATATGTGTTTATATATGTTTATATACATGATTATATAATCATGGAGAAAATTTTAACATGGGCTACATGGACATGAAAAGGTTAGTGGGAAGGTGTAATATGGAAGGAAACAGAGATAAAAGGGAGGCAGCCAATTAAACACAAAAAAATCATTTTGTATACCTTAAATATATATAATTTTTATGTGTCAATTCTACCTCAATAAAGCTGGGAAAAAGATGTTTTTTTAATGTACAGTGTCTTGATTGATTTGACTTAAATTGCTATAGCTGGCAACTGGTTTACATGTGTAAAATTGCATTCCCTTTGTATTTCATGTGTAACTTACCAACTGAGTGAATTTAAAAACATTTTAAAAAAGATTTTAGTTTTAGGGGCGCCTGGGTGGCTCAGCTGGTTAAGCAGCTGCCTTCGGCTCAGGTCATGATCCCAGGGTCCTGGGATCAAGCCCCGCATCGGGCTCCCTGCTCCGCGGGGAGCCTGCTTCTCCCTCTCCCTCTGCCTGCCTCTCTGCCTACTTGTTCTCTCTCTCTCTGTCAAATAAATAAATAAAATCTTTAAATTAAAAAAAAACAAAATAAAAAAGATTTTAGTTTTAAATAATCTCTACACCCAACAAGGGGCTCAAACTTACAACCCTGAGTTCAAAAGTTGCACACCCTGCCAACTGAGCCAGCTAGGAACCCTGAGTGCATTTTATATTAAGGATGGATTATGTATATTTGGGTAAACGAAAGTTGTGTCTTATTTGATTTATCCTTTGAAATCCCTTCTAAAAGAAAAAAATATATGCAGTATATGATCATAATTAAGCCTTTATATAAAACTGTATACGTTCATATATATTAATTTTTTAAAAGATTTATTTATTTTAGAGAGAGTGAGAGAGAGAGCTTATGTAAGGGGGACGGGCAGAGGGGGAGGGAGAGAGAATCTCAAGCCAACTTCCCACTGAGCACAGAGCCTGACACAGGGACCGATGCCACGACCCGGAGATCATGACCTGAGCTGAAATCAAGAGTCAGATGCTTAGCTGACCTAGCCATCCAGGCACCCCCATGTAACAATTTTTAAGGAAATATGACTCTTACATGGCATATAAGTTAATCCATTATCTGGACATCATTTGGTGGCTTCAATTTTCCCTTATCCATTACCCACTGGACTTGAGTGCTGCTTTACTTACTGTGCATGATGTTAGAGACTTGAAACTCTGGATCATGGGGCTGCACTACATCTGCATTGGGGAGGAAGCGCTGCATATTCTCTGTGAGGTACCAGCTTCGATTCTCATCAAATACAGAAAACAGGATGACATTTCTCTTGTCTGACATCATCTGTTAATTACACATATTGAAAGAAAGAACTGCTATTAGTATTGTCCCATAAAAATTAGCATGCAGGTGATATATCTATATCGAAACCTTTGGCTCAATTCCAATTTCTCCATAGGGTCACTATTATGCACATATACCAGGGCTTGGGAGTAGCAGTGAGTGTAACTTTAGAGCAAATGTGTCCTCAAGGCAACTTTAAAGACCCAAGTGATTATTCAGTGTTTTTCTTAAACAAGTTAGTCAAGTCAAGGAAGATTAATGCCTTTCCTAAACTTTATGGAAAGGCAACTACCAATCCATAAAAAATTAAAAATAGAAAACAAATCAAATAACAAAGTTAAGATGGGCCATAAAATGTTAATTAACACTAATATCTAAAGTTTTCTGTTAAAAAAGTTTAAAGTTCTTTTTAGAAGAGCAGTTTGTATATGAACCAAAGTTATGAGTTATTTGCTAGTTGATTCTGTTAAGATTTAATGTGTAAACTTCATTAATATGTATAAATTTCATTTTGCATAACCTAGTGCTACAGAAACCAAAATGCTGAGGAGAGGACATTGGGGAAAATATAGAGGTACATTTCAGTCCTCTTCCAAAAAACTGGTGGTAAAAACTATAATTAGGAAAAATTTGTCAGGACAGGTACTTGCCCAAATTTATGCCTTTTTGGGTTTGTGTGCCATGTGTTTTAAAACTCACGTGCTTTATTCTCTAAACCAAGGAAATGTTTTCAGACTAGTAAAAATCCTATGTAGTAAATAACCAAACTGACATCCAGTCAAGCCTCAGCAATATGGCAACGAGTTATTCTGATGTAAGCATTGAGTTTTTGAGAAGCACTAGGCTTTCCTTTCTTTTTTTTAAAAAAAGATTTTAGTTATGTATTTTGAGGAGGAGTGGCAGAAGGAGAGAGAGAGAGAGTCCTAGCAGACCCTGCAGTGAGCACAGAGCCTGATGTGGGGTTTGATCTCACAACCCTGAGATCATGACCTGAACCAAATTCAAGAGTTGGATGCTTAACCAACTGTGCCCCCCAGGCACCCCAGCATTAGGCTTTCCTTATGCAGAGAATTTAGCTTTATTTTCTTAAAGCAGTATAAGTGGTCTAAATTCTAAACATTTCTGAAATATTTTGTATCTTTCCCTGTATTCTGCTCAACAAATATTTATTGAATTCCTACCACATGCCATGCACTATGCTAGATGCTGCAGATATGTTCATTTTGAGGTGTCTTTGAGTCACTCATGATGAGACATCCAGGGGAGAAGTCTAGACTCTGATACAGATTCACAGGTCATCTAAAAATGAGCAGTAGTTTGGCATGTAAAAATGAGCAAGATCATTTACAGAAAGTGGAATTTTAAGTTTTTTAAAGTTTTATTTAGGTAAGTAATTGCTACACCCAATGAGAGGCTTGAACTCATGACCCCAAGATCAAGAGTCACATGCTCTTCCAAGTGAGCCAGCCAGTGGCCACCAGAAAATGAAATTTTAGACTGGGAATGAGTATTATAGGAATATAATAGGAGAGGCTCTCCTATCGATCCAGCAGGCAAGTTTATTAAACCAAACTAAATTCAAAAACAACTGTGAGAAACCCAGCTCATTTCTTTTATTGGCCAATACTGCAGACTATTATATTTTCTGCAGACTATAGGGGGAAGTACACTGAGAGATCTGAAAGTTCATATGCATCATCAGTCCATCAAACCCAGAACTTTGAAAGACATGAACTCACCTGGTTTCCTCTTTGATCTACAGATTCTTTGTAGCAGATAAGGAGAGGGCCAATGAGTCCTGAAGCTAGATCTCTCTCCAGATTAATGAAGCTTGAGTAATATCGGGTCAGGCACCGAGGATCTGATTTAGTCGGCCCATCTTCTACAGTCACTGTCCATTTATACTTGAATACCTCTCCTGGCAGAATTGGCATATCTTTCAAATGTTTCACACCTACCCACACCCAAACCGCAAAATATCTTGATTAGAGTATAACAAGCCACATATTGGTAAGTCCTGTTATTTCGAGGGCTCTACCAATTTATATGTACATGTGAAGCTTCTCAATAAATTGAAACTAAATTTGTGTCTATCATAAGCTTAAGATTCACACAATTGTTTTACAATAAAAGTGGGTCGAGGACTTGAAGTTTTATTACAAATCTATAGTGATCAAAACAGTATGGTACCGGCACAAAAACAGACACATAGATCAATGGAACAGAATAGGAAATCCAGAAATGAACCCACAACTCTATGGTCAACCTTCAACAAAGCAGGAAAGAATGTCCAATGGAAAAAAGACAGTCTCTTCAACAAACGGGGTTGGGAAAATTGGACAGCCACATGCAGAAGAATTTTCTTACACTATACACAAAAATAAACTCAAAATGGATGAGAGACCTAAAATGTGACACAGGAATCCATCAAAATCCTAGAAGAGAACACAGGCAACAACCTCTTCGACCTCAGCTGCAGCAACTTCTGGCTAGACACATCTCCAAAGGCAAGGGAAACAAAAGCAAAAAGGAACTATTGGGACTTCATCAGGATAAAAAACTTTTGCAGGAGGGAAGAGTCCAAGATGGTGGAGGCGTAGGAGACCTAAATTTCGTCTGGTCCCAGGAATTCAGCTAGATAGCTATCAAATCATACTGAACACCTGTGAACTCAACCAGAGATCTAAGAAAATAGCTACAACTCTATGAATAGAAAAGCGACCACTTTCTGGAAGGCAGGACGTGCAGAGAAGTGAATCTGAGGCTATATTCGGGAAGATAGACCATGGTGGAAGGGAGCTTCCATCAACCGGCTACCGGCAAGTGATAGAACAGCGGAGCACAGAATCGGAACTTTTAGAAGTCTGCTCTGCTGAGGGACGTCACTCCAGTGACTAAGGGGGAGGGTGGTGGAACCCTCGCTGGGATGGTGTGGTCTCAGGACCCTCGGGGTCACAGAAGAGTGGGGGTGCCTGAGTGCGGCAGAGCTCCCAGGGATCGGAGCAGGGAAGCCAGCTGCAGAGATGGAGCCAAGGCATGGGCTCTCAGCTTGGGGTTACCATAAACTGTGATCCGCGCCACAGTCGGGCCACTGTTCCTCCAGCAGGGACCCAACAAGCGGCAGATCCGGGGAGACTCCCCTTCCTCCCCCGGGAGGAGCAGTGCGGGAGCGCACCGCAGGAGTCTGTAGGGTTTGGAGACTCTACATGGGGTTGTGTGCCTGAGAGAGAAATTCTGGATCACAGGCCGGGTGAGCACAGAGTGCAGCTGGAGACTGGGGAGATGGGAGTGATTGACTGTTTTTCTCTGGGGGCGCACTGAGGAGTGGGGCCCCGAGTTCTCGGCTCCTCCGGGGTGGAGATTGGGAGGCTGCCATTTCACTCTCGACCTCCAAACCTGTGCTGAAAGCTTGCAGGGAACAAAAGCACCTGAAAGCAAACCCGAGCAGATTACTTAGCCCCGACGACAAGGGCGGGGCAATTCCGCCTCCGGCAAAGACATTTGGGAACCATGGCAACAGGTCCCTCCCCCAGAAGATCAGCAAGAACAGCCAGCAAGCCAAGACCAAGTTTACCGATCAATGAGAACGGCAGAACCCAGTGCTAGGGGAATAAAGCATATAGAATTCATGGTTTTTTTTTTTTACCATGATTCTTTAGTCTTTCAACTTTAATTTTTTTTCTTACCTTTTTCAACGAATTTATTTTATGAACTCTTTTTAAATCTTTTTTTTAAGACAGTTGCCTTCTATTTTTTTAAAGATTTTATTTATTTATTTAATTGACAGAGAGACAGAGACAGCGAGGGAGGGAACATAAGCAGGGGAGTGGGAGAGGGAGAAGCAGGCTTCCCGCCGAGCAGGGAACCTGATGCGGGGCCCGATCCCAGGACCCTGGGATCATGACCTGAGCTGAAGGCAGTCGCTTAACCAACTGAGTCACCCAGGCGCCCCATTCTTTTTAAAATCTTTTTTTTAATTTTCATTTTATCCTATCATTCTATTTAATTTTATTTGTGTGTGTGTGTGTGTGTGTATGTGTATATATATATATATATATATATATACACACACACACAGTCTCCAAACCCTACAGACTCCTCTGTTGTGTTCACCTGTTGATTATATTCTCTTTCTCTCTTTTTTGGTTTCGGGTCTCTTCTGGTTTGTTTAGTGTATATTTTAGTGTTTAGTGTGTATCTGGGGTTGTTGTTGCCATTTTAATATTTTGTTTTCTTGTTTATCTATTCTTCTCTGGACAGAATGACAAGATGGAAAAACTCACCTCAAAAAAGAGAACAAGAGGCAGTATTGACTGCCAGGGACCTAATCAGTATGGACATAAGTAAGATGTCAGAACTAGAGTTCAGAATAACGATTACAAAGATACTAGCTAGGCTTGAGAAAAGCATAGAAGACACTAGAGAGTCCCTTTCTGGAGAAATAAAAGAACAACCTACAAGGGTAGAAATATTAGATTGGCAGCAGACCTATCCACAGAGACCTGGCAAGCCAGGAAGGACTGGCAAGACATATTTAGGGTGCTAAATGAGAAAAATATGCAGCTAAGAATACTTTATCCAGATAGGATGTCATTCAAAATAGAAGGAGTAATAAAAGCTGCCAGGACAAAAAGAAACTAAAAGAATTTGTGATCACTAAACCAGCCCTGCAAGAAATAAAAAAAGGCATCCTATAAGTGAAGAGAGAGCCCAAAAATAACATAGACCGGAAAGGAACAGAGACAATCTACAGAAACAGTGACTTTACAGGTAATATAATGGCATTAAATTCGTATCTTTCAATAGTTACTCTGAATGTAAATGAGCCAATCAAAATGCCCCAATCAAAAGACACAGGGTATCAGATTGGATAAAAAAAACAAGACTCATCCATATGCTGTCTGCAAGAGACTCATTTTAGATCCAAAGACACCTCCAGATTGAAAGTGAGGGGGTGGAGAACCATTTATCATGCTAATGGACTTCAAAAGAAAGCTGGGTGGCAATCCTTCTATAAGAGAGGTTAGATCTTAAACCAAAGACTGTAATAAAAGATGAGGAAGGATACTATATCTTAATTAAAGAGTCTATACAACAAGAAGATCTGACAATTGTAAATATTTATGCCCCTAACATGGGAGCAGCCAATTATATACACCAATTAATAACAAAATTAAACACAATGATAATAATACAATAATAGCAGGGGACGTTAACACCCCACTCACTGCAATGGACAGATAATCTAACCAGAAGATCAATAAGGAAATAAGGGCTTTAAATGACACACTGGACCAGATGGACTTCACAGATATATTCAGAGCATTCCAGCCTAAAGTAACAGAATACACATTCTTCTCTAGTGCCCATGGAACATTCTCCAGAATAGATCACATACTGAGTCACAAATCAGGTCTCAACCAGTACCAAAAGACTGGGATTATTCCCTGCATATTTTCAGGCCAAAATGCTTTGAAACTTGAACTCAATCACAAGAGCAAAGTTGGAAAGAACGCAAATACATGGAGACTAAAGAGCATCCTACTAAAGAATGAATGGGTCAACCGGGTAATTAAAGAAGAATTAAAAAAATTCATGGAAACAAATGAAAATGAAAACAAAACCATTCAAAACCTTTGGGATGCAGCAAAGTTGGTCCTAAGAGGGAAAAACATAGCAATACAAGCTTTTCTCAAAAAATGAGAAAAGTCTCAAACACAAGCTAAACATATACCTAAAGGAGCTGGAGAAAGAACAGCAAATAAAGCCTAAACCCATCAGGAGATGAGAAATAATAAAGATTAGAACAGAAATCAATGAAATAGAAACCAAAAGAACAGTAGAACAGATCAAACGAAACTAGGAGCTGATTCTGTGAGAGAATTAATAAGATTGATAAACCCCTGGCCAGACTTATCAAAAAGAAAAGAGAAAGGACCCAAATTAATAAAATCATGAATGAAAGAGGAGAGATCATAACCAACACCAAAGAAATACAATTTTAAGAATATTATGAGCAACTATATGCCAAGAAACCAGGCAATCTGGAAGAAATGGATGCTTTCCATTTCTTATAAACATGGAGCAGCAACTTCTGGCTAGACATGTCTCCAAAGACATATAAACCACCAAAACTGAAACAGGAAGACACAGAAAATCTGAACAGACCTATAACCAGAAAGGAAATTGAAGCAGTAATCAAAAATCTCCCAACAAACAAGAGCCCAGGGCCAGATGGCTTCCCAGGCAATTCTACCAAACATTTAAAGAAGAAATCATACCTATTCTCCTGAAGCTGTTTCAAAAAATAGAAATAGAAGGAAAACTTCCAGACTCTTTCTATGAGGCCAGCACTACCTTGATCCCAAAACCAGACAAAGACCCCCACAAAAAGGATAATTACAGACCAATATCCCTAATGAACATGGATGAAAAAATGCTCACCTTACAGCATTCATAAAAATAGACTCAAAATGGATGAAAGACCTAAATATGAGACAGGAATCCATCAAAATCCTAGAGGAGAACACAGGCAGCAACCTCTTCCACCTGGGCCGCAGCAACTTCTGGCTAGACATGTCTCCAAAGGCAAGGGATACAAAAGCAAAAAGGAACTACTGGGGCTTCATCAAAATAAAAGCGTTTGCACAGCAAAGGAAACAGTTGACAAAACCAGAAGACAACCAACAAAATTGGAGAAGATATTTGCAAATAACATATCAGATTAAGGGCTAGTATCTAAGATCTATAAAGAACTTATCAAACTCAACACCCAAAGAACAAATAATCCAATAAGAAATGGGCAGAAGACATGAACAGACATTTCTCCAATGAAGACATACAAAGGGCCAACAGACACATGAAAAATGCTCCACATTCCTTGGCATCACAGAAATACAAATCAAAACCACAATGAAATACCACCTCATACCAGTCAGAATGGCTAAAATTAAC